CATGTGTTTATTAATGGACTTACATCCAGAGTATATGTAAAAAATAATAAACAAACTGTCAATGCTCAGCAATAAGGAAATCACAACCCAATTTGTAAAATTGGCAAAAGCTGCTGAGATCTATTTAGACCTTTCACTAAAGACGACATGTGGATGGCAAAAAGCATACACAAAGCTGCTCTACATCATTTGTCATTAAGGAAATATAGATTAAAACCAAAATGAAACACTATTGCAGACCTACACATAATGAAATTTTAATTCAACATGTGACCTCTGCTGATCCTAATATCAGCCTGAGCCCTATTTACTGTAGTCACTTCTGAGCCAGACTTCATTCTTCATTCTTCATTATAGGAACAAAAACTTGTTGCAGTTGATCTCTGCTATTTCTCGTATTCATTTAACCTATAATAAAGTTCTGGAACAGGTCAAAAAATTAATTGTTAAATTTAGTAAACTTATTATACCTTTAAGTGAAGGCTCAAAAGAAGGAGGAATAAGATTGGGCAAATAGAATCGGAAAAAGGAGAGGAAGAAGCTATTAAAGGGTAATTTACACCAAGATAGAAAGGAGAGAGAGAGAGGGATGGGTATTAATTGAGGTTGTAGAGAAGCAGGTATAAACTAGAGCTGGGAAAACAAAGATAGGAAGATTGATTCCAATTAATGCTTTAAACCACTAGATTAAATACATTCAAATGGGTTGTAGGTACAATATTGGCTATTGGGTTAACAGTTATTCAAATTAAGGAATTATTTATATGATCAAAGTTGACTTTAGAGYTGTTTATAGTATACAATATCTAGGTGAAGAAAATTCTTGTTGAATTTGGATTTCATTGGTGTTTGGACATTTAAAAGATGTCCATCAATTTTTGGCTGTGGTTCTCTCCTGAGTTGCAGGGGGATGGGGACCAATTTCCTACTTGTTATGAATGTCCTTCCATCAGTTTCTGGTTTGTCAGCTCAAGGGCCTTTAGCTGACTGCTTGCTTGAATGGCACAGTGTTTCTACTGTGTTTGTATTTCAGGATGTAGGCTCTGGCTTGTCACTGTGGTTGCTATATGTCACTGTGCACCCATTACCCTCTATTGGATGGTTTTCATGGTAGTGAAGGTCTTGGTTCCTGTATGTGGGTACAGGAACTCTGGCTGTGGATCTTCCGCCCATGATCTGTGGTGCAGAAGTATTCCCCCAGCCAATGCTGCTCTCTGAAATACCATAACTTAGAGTCTTCAGTGGTTCACCTGGACTCTAGTTTCCACTGCCCAGGTTGTGAATGTTGTGTGTTGATTCCCTCTGCTTGCTTAGTACAATGCAAAGATTCTTAAATATTCAAATAATTCCTGGTCACTTGCCAGTTATGATCACAGTTCAGGCAGTGTGCCTGTTAAAGCTGATATCAGCCTCTTTCTGTTGGGTCTCTGTGCCACTGTATATTCAGACAACTATCCTTCTGGTAGGCCCTGTGATCCTGACCCTGCAATCCAGATCCTGGGGACTATCCCTGGACTTCCTATGGTGCCTTCCCCCAGTGTCAGTGGTTGGAAGCCTGGTGAATCTGCCTTCCTTTGTTAGGGGCCAAAGCTTTGTTGCCTCTGTCTGAGTTGAGCAAGCAACAGGAAGCTCTGCAGAGCTTTTTGCCCTTGCCTGGGTCACAGAGACTGAGCAGGGCTAGATGCACACTTCCGTGAGCCAGGTCCCCTCCAGCCTGCTGTGTTCCCCTTGTTTGCATTGGAGGATTGGGGAGGGCAATTTCAGCAATTTAGAGCTAGTTGTGGTTCTTCTAGAAGTTCTTGTTGGCCAGGTATTTAAGAGGTCCTACTGCAGGGGACTTCCCTCTGGTTTAGTTTGCAGCTGTCAGGCATGGGAAAATAGTGTGCTAATTTAAGAGAGTGACTAGTTGGCTAATGGCTCCACAGGATGGCTGCAGACCCCCAGCTTTCTTTTCACAATTTGGTTTTAAGCTGTTTGTGCTGTTTTTTTTGTATGTAGGGAGGTGGGTGGGGGGTGGGTGGAGCGAGAATACCAGGGCCTAAATTCAGGGGCATTCATTCCACAGTGAACTACATCCCCAGCCCTATTTTGTATTTTATTTAGAGACAGGGTCTCGCTGAGTTGCTTAGTGCCTCAGTTTTGCTGAGGGTGGATTTGAACTTGGGATACTACTGCCTTAGCCTCCTGAGCTCCTGGGATCATAGGCGTGCATGTTTGTGCTGTTTTAAGGAGCCTTCTGATACAGTTGTGCTTTTAGTTTTGTCTGTCTTTTCAACCATTTTTAAATGAGCAAGCTTAAGAGAGTGTTTCTTCCCCTCTCTTCTCTCTCTGATGCCCCTATCCTGCTTCTCATCCACCATTTTAGGGTTGGGAGGTGGTTAGGGCACTGTTTGTTTTCTGCTCTGGTACCCTATCTTCCAGTCTCTCCAGGTCTCCAATATCGAGTCTTAGAGCATTTATTTTGTCACCCACCTCTCAATTCTGCCTTTCTTCCACTGCCTCCTTTCTGTGTTTTGAGGAGATCAGGACTGTTGCCTAACTTGCTTCTGCCATCTTCCTCTGGGATTCACCTGAATTTTATTTATTTATAATTTAATTTTATATATATATATATATGTGTGTGTGTGTGTGTGTGTGTGTGTGTGTGTGTGTGTATTAGGTGGACACAATACCTTTATTCTATTTTTTAAATTTTTTTTTTAGTTGTAGATGGATAATACCTTTATTTCGTTTATTTATTTTTATGTGGTGCTGAGGATCCAACCCAGTGCCTCACACACGTGCGAGGCAAGCATTCTACCATAGAAACACTGTGCCGTCCAAGCAGTCAGCTGCAGGCCCTTGAGCTGACAGACCAGGCCCTCCCCCTGAATTTTTAAATTCTCTTTTAGAGCCTTTTGTGTTTTGTTTAGGAAAATTTCACTAATCAGAGGTTGAAGGCATTCTCCTATATTATTTAAAAAATAGCTTCATCCTTTTTTTTTTTTTTTTTTTGCCTTTCACATATAGGTCTTGTACTATCTGAAACTGATTTTTTGAGTATAGTAGGAGGTATAAAGTAGGGGTCCAAGCAGGGCATGGTGGCACATCCTGCCAGCTGGGGAGGGTGAGGCAGGAGGATCGCCAGTTCAAAGCCAGCCTCAGCAAAAGCGAGGCGCTAAGCAACTCAGTGAGATCCTGTCTTTAAATAAAATACAAAATAGGGCTGGGGATGTGGCTCAGTGCTTGAGTGCTCCTGAGTTCAATCCCTGGTACCAAAAAAAAAAGGGGGGGTCCAATTTCATTTACTTCCCTTGTAGATACCTAATTGTTCTAGCATCATGTTTTTAAAAGACTACTCTTTTCTCCACTGATTGAAAAAGCCACTTTTGGGGGGCTGGGGTTGTGGCTCAGCAGTAGAGCACTCACCTAGCATGTACGAGGCCATGGGGTTCGATCCTCAGCACCACATAAAGATAAATAAAAAAAGAAATTGTCTTCAACTACAACTAAAAAATAGATATTTTTAAAAATAAAAAATCCACTTTTATAATATATGTAAGATTCATATGTATATATACTTGGGTTTGTTTTGAGCTGACATTTCTCTTCTTATTTGTCAATTTTTCTATTCCTATGCTAATACACAGTATCTGCACTCTAGTTATATATGAAATCTTAAGTTGTGATGGGAGTAAGTTTTACTTCTCCTTTTTCTTTGAGAGTTTCTTGGTTATCTTGATATTTCATATTTCTGCATCAGATTTAAGTTGGCTTGTTAAGTTCCACAGCAAAATCAGTTTAGATTTAATTGTGATTGCATTTAATCCATAGATCAATTTAGGGAGAACTCACATTTTTTTAAATGACTGATGCCCTGTCATTTTTTAAAAAATATTTTTATTAGTTGTTGATAGATCTTTATTTTATTTATTCATATATGGTGCCAAGAATCAAACCCAGTGCCTCCCACATGCCAGGCAAGTGCTCTACTGCTGAGCCATAGCCCCAGCACCAGAACTGACATTTTTATAATATTGCATCTTATAACTCATGAGCATGATGAGTTATAAGATGCAAAAACTTCACTTTAGTTTTTTCTTTAGTCTCTCAATAAATATTTTATATTTTTTCCCATAGATGAATCAAAATTACTTTAAAATAAATGGGAATGGGTAGGCTAAAAGGAAAAGGATACAAAAAAGTAAGGGGACAAACTTCATCAACATGGTCAGAAATTGAAAGGGAACATATTTTCATTTTCTTTAAAGTCCTCAACTGCACACCTAAACACTTAGCCTATGATCTCATTTTCTAATTTTAGAAGTTGTTGGCTATACATCTAGAGCTCTTCAGTTGTTCATTTGTGGTGTATCTCACCACAGAATTTGTTTATCTTCCATTCTTTACTTAATCCTGTATATCTGAGAAAGGAGTGTCCCTAGGAGTAAGATCAGTGCTAATCCATCCATGAGTACTTCAAGTCCAGTATGGTTGAGATATTGTGATTAAAAATGCACTCCTATTTAGAGTCTTCCTTGACATTCATTCCCTTTGATCAACCAATGACTGATGCCCTGGCAAATTAACATCCAATTTTCCACTTGAAGCATAAAATGTAAAAATAATTAATTGTTCTCATAATTACATTACTTGAAATGAGAATTTTGTGACTTTTGACAGATAAGGCCACTTTTTTGTCTGAGCTTCTCTGACCTGCTCCTGGGAATTTGCTGGCTTACTGAGGCACTTCTCTATGGAACTTTAATAGCCAATAAGGACATTATCTGCTATAACTTGCAAGCACTTGGGCAGGTAAGCATTACTAGACTGACCGCACCTTGACAGTAAGGCACACTCAGGGTAGGAAGCAAAGGAAGCAAGAGTGATCCATCATGGGAATGGAGACCAATTTGTTTATTGTTACACTTTGAAACAATACCTTTTATCTTTTTTGTCTAAAAAGAACTATTTATTTATCATAGAAATTTTGGACAATTCCGAGAAGCATAAGGGTAGATTAGGTAATTAAAAAATAAGCCAGCTATAATCACGCTTTAATATTTTAAATATATATCCTTATGATTATTTTCTGAATATATATATATATATATATATGCTTGTTTAAATATTTTTATTAATTGTTGATGGACCTTTATTTTATTTACTTATTTATATGCAACCCAGTGCTTCACATATGCTAGGCAAGCACTCTACCACTGAGCCACAACCCCAGGCCTCAACGTATATTTTTAAATATATAAAATAAGCTAGGCATGGTGGCACATGCCTGGAATCCCAATGACTTAGGAAGCTAAGGCAGGAGGATTGCAAGTTTATATATGATGCCAAGAATCAAACCTAGGCAAGTGCTCTACTGMTGAGCCATAGCCCCAGCCCCAGAACTGACATTTTTATAATATTGCATCTTATAACCCATGAGCATGATATATCTCTTCACTTTAGTAAACGTTGCTAGGATTATAGGCCTAAGCTGTTATGGAATATTTTTCTACAACATCTTTTGAAATGACTGCATGGTTTTGTATTATGGGAATATAATACACATCAGGTTTCAAAAATACTACAGATAATCATATAATGGGTCATATATGTAACTTTCAAGATTTTTTTTTTTAAGTGCTGGAGATCAAACCCAGGCCTCATGCATGCTAGGCCAGCACTGTGCTGTTGAGCTTTTCCRCCAGCCCCTTCTATGGATTTTATCGATGCAGTAACCTGCATAGTACCCTTAGTATATGACCCTTATAATTTCTGAGACTCACAGTGTGAAAAAAGTAGAGGTTAAAAATGCAGTGTATACCCATTGCTGGKTATTTCTTCTAGAATTTATTATTAGAGGAGATTTCTTTCAATTTAGTAGGAGGCTGAGCATCCCTAATTTAGAAATCTGAAATGCACCAAAATCTGAAACTGTGGAAAATTCCACACCTCACCTCATGTGATAGTTTGCAATAAAAATGCAGATACATTCAAACATGTAAAACTTTTGTATAAAATTACCTTTGAGCTTGTATAAGAGGTGTATATGAAACAAACAAATTTCATGTTTAGACTTGTGTGTGTCCATAACATATCTTCTTATATATGTGGAAATATTCTAAAATCTGAAAAATTTCAGAATCCTAAACATCCCCAGGTATTTCAGATAAAGGACACTGAACCTATAATATGTAATTGATGGTATGAAGTTTATGCATTGATATTACCTGTATTTTATGAGTTTAAAATGCCTTAGAGACATACTTTGCTCAATTCTGCTAATAATTTCATGAGTTAAGACTAAAGCCATATTATTTTTTCATAAAAAGAAATAATATTGTAATTTTAAAAAATTATTTAAAAATCCTGTATTAGAATCCTGGACCATTAATAATAACACTATCTTTTTTGATGTAGATTTGACTAAACTTACCTTTTTTTTTTTTTACAACTGTATTAAGCTACATGTACAATAAATTATATGTATTTTTTTTAAAGAGAGAGTGTGTGTGTGTGTGAGAGAGAGAGAGAGAGGGAGAGAGAGAKAATTTTTTAATGTTTATTTTTTAGTTTTCGGCAGATACAACATCTTTGTATGTGGTGCTGAGGATCGAACCCGGGCTGCGTGCATGCCAGGCTAGCGTGCTACTGCTCGAGCCACATCCCCAGCCCCAAATTATATGTATTTAAGGTGTACAATTTGATCAGTTTTGATATATGCATAACATCATGAAATCATCACTACATTTCAAGATAGCAAACATTCCTATTTTCAGCACCCCTCAAAATTATTTACAATGTGTTTTCCTTGACCTCATGGAGTAGTAACTGCTTTTAAAAATACTTAATTTAAAAAAATTATTTTCAATATCAGGTCACTTCTAGTCTGTTGATTGTCTTTCCCCATGATAATGGGTCACATTTTCCTGTTCATTGTATATCAAGTAATTTAGGATTGCATCTTAGACACTGTGAGTACTGTGTGACATATACTCTGGGTCCTTTTATAACTTTCTGGAGATTGCTGGTGTTTTTGTTTTGTAGGCATTCAATCTGATTAGGTCAAGAATATAAATTCACATCACCATATGTGGAAGTGTTTTAACTGTATCTCATTCTGTAAGCCTTGACTTTGCTGATTTGGTATTGTCATACACATGCATGATAGAGGGGTTAGTTTGAAACTTGTGTGGGATTCACACACAAAACTAAGGCATGCTCTTTTCTGACTCTCTCACTTGTGGGATTCCTTCCATACATTCCTGCCTAAAAGGAACTCTTTCTGCCATATACTGTGGCACACATCTGTAATACTAGTGACTTGGAGGCTGAGACAGGAGGATCACAGATTTGAACCCAGCCTCAGCAACTTACTGAACCCCTAAGAAACTTGGCAAGATCCTATCTAAAAATAAAACATTTAAAAAAAAAAAAGGCTGGGGAGGGCTGGGGTTGTAGCTCTGGAGTTGTAGAGCACTTGCCTCTCAAGCATGAGGCACTGGTTTAATCATCCGCACCACATAAAGATAAATAAATAAAGATATTGTGTGCATCTACAACTGAAAAAAAAAAAGGATGGGGTATGGCTCAGTGGTAAAGCACTCCTGGGTTAAATCCCTAGTACCAAAAAAAAAAAAAAAAAAGACTCATGTCCTAAGGGAGTATTTATTAGAATTTTAGGTGTCTTGACTAGGGTTTACACTGGAGGCAGTCTGATGGGGTGGAGGGGTGTGTAAAAATTTGGGAGATTCACTTCTATGTATTTCACTTAAGTTTGACTTCCACAAACCACCTGTTTTTCTTTACTTTTTAGAAACTCAAGTACGTTTTTTATATTTCTCTTAGATTTCTTATTTGTAATCAGAGGGATTAAACACAATAGCTTATTTTGTTCATTTGGTTTGTATTTATTTGTTTGTTTGTTTGTTTATTTATTTATTTATTTTGGTACCAAGGATTGAACCCAGGTTCGTTCAACCACCAAGCTACATCCACAGCCCTTTTTTGAATTTTATTTAGAGACATATTCTTACTGAGTTGCTTAGGACCTCACTAAGTTGCTACTGGCTTTGAACTTGCGATCCTCCTGTCTCAACCTTCTGAGCTGCTGGGATTACAGGCGTGTGCCACCATGACCAGCTTGGCATTTAAAATTTTTTTTAAAATTGGGATAAAATATGGGCTGGGATTGTGGCTCAGCGGTAGAGTGCTCGCCTCATATGCACATGGCCCTGGGTTCGATCCTCAGCACCACGTAAAAATAAATAAGTGAAATAAAGGTATTGCGTCCAACTATAACTAAAAAATAAATTATAAAAAATTGGGATAAAATATATAAAACATAACATTTGTGATGTTAACCTTTGTGCATGAGTATATATGTGTTGTTAGTTACTAGGAATTGAACCCAGGGCCTTGTACATGCTAAGCTAGCACTTTACCACTGAGCTGCATCCCTAGCCCCACCTCACTCCTTTTTAAAAAAATTTTGAAACACTATCTCACTAAATGTTCAGAGTGGCCTTAAACTTACGATTTTCCTGGTTCAGCCTTCTGAGTAGCTGGGATTACAGATGAAGGCCTCTATGTGTATCTAATCTTAATCATTTAAAGTGATTTTAAATATCCATGTTGTGCAGCCTGACTAGTATTGTCTCCAGAACTTTACTGCATTCAGTTTCTTTTTTCTCAAAGTAGACCAAGATGGAGCAACCAGTACCATTCAGGGAGAGAAGGCGGGAGTTCCCCAAAGCAAAAGGGGCAGCTGCTGGGACAGCCCTCAGTCTCTCCCTTTATTCACAAGAATAGCTCCTCCGATTAGACTCAAGGCAAACCTAGCCTTCTTCTAAGTCTCCAGCAGTTGGCTCAACAATTTTACCAGCCACCTTGCATCCTGAACTTGGAAGTGGAATTGCTTGGAGAACCAGGTCTGACCAAGAAAGCTGGAGTAGGGACTGTTCTCAGATCCCATTCTTCGGTGCCAGTTTGTTACTGAAAACTCAGTCCTTGTCCTCAGTGTCAACCAATGATGAGGACACAGTTTTGAGAAAAAGGGAAAAATGAAGTTTTTTTGCTTTGCTAGCCAAGGAGAAACACAGGGGACTTCTGTCCCAGAGGCTGTGATTCTCTCTTATTAGGATTTWWAAAAAAATATATATATATATGTATATGTATATGTATATATGTATTTCAGTTGTAGGTGGATACAATACCTTTATTTTATTTATTTGTACATGGTGCTAAGGATCGAACCCAGGGCCTYACATATGCTAGGCAAACATTCTACCGCTGAGCCACAACCCCAGCCCATTTTTTAAAATAGGATTGTCATGGCTGTGTCCTCCCCAGTCCATTTTGCTAAGATCAGATATTAATAAGATTTTTTTTTTAGTTTGTTGTTCTGTTTGTCTAGTGAGTGATGATTGTAGGAAGGATCTCAGATTAGGGATTGTTCCTGAGGTAGCCATTTGAGAGATATTATAATAGAGGATATCTGGGAGGGTAGCCACAATAGCATAATTACCTCATAATTACCTTGTGGCCAGAGTATACCTGGTCACCACATGAAAAGCCAAATCTTATTCCTCTAAGATGTACTACAGTTGTGGGTCCTTGAATCCAAGCCTTGATGTATACAGTTTATATACATAGGTCCCCAGGGTCTGTAGGTGGATGCCAGGAACTATTTTGTTTGTCCTGGGGTCTCATGCCTGAGAAGTATTCATCTACACACAGAGGAGACTATAACTTTTGGCTAGTGTCATATATTTTGGCAAAGTATATTTCTAAACCTGAGTTGGATAAGATTGTTTTCAGGAATTCTGGAGGTATGGTTTGTATTGGTAATATTGAGAAAGAAATCAGTATGTTGTTCTATACCTATGAATTGTTTATTAGTGTCTGAGCTGTTAATAGGAGTGAGAAAGTTTCATTAGTATACAATTTTGTATCATTGAGAACCTTAACCTCCCCCCATGTTAGGGTAACATTGTGATAATAGACATCAAACTCATTGTTTTTATTGGATTTAAGAGGTTCCCATTGTGGTTTTCAGTCTGGACTATTAAAGACTGAGGTGTAGTTATTTAAGTTAAATTTTTCTTTTTTGAATTTTTTAATATTTTTTTGTTTTCGGTGGACACAACATCTTTGTTGGTATGTGGTGCTGAGGATCGAACCCGGGCCGCACGCATGCCAGGCGAGTGCACTACCTCTTGAGCCACATCCCCAGCCCAAATTTTTCTTATTTTTTAAAAATTTAAATTTTTAAAAATTTTAAATTTATGTTTACATATAATTTTAAATTACATTAACATACAGATAGAACGTTACGTTTACATCTAATACATGCTGTTATATACATGACAGGTATGTTTTTAACATAGAGGCATGAGAACTATGCTCTAAAATATTTCATATAAAAGAGACATTTTTTAAAAATATTGAATACAGTTGGGAAGAGGTCAAGATATTAACATGGCATATATTTTAGGTTAAATATAATTCTAGATGCATTGAATATTGTTTGTTTTACAGAATATAATGTCTATATTTTATGTATCTCTGTTCATATTTATATGTTCATACTGGAGAATTAAACTGAAATTATCCTCATAAACTAATTTGTTTTTTCTGTCTCATTCTACTGTCCTTCCCATCCCCATAGCCCTACTCCTCCCCTCATTCCCTCTGCACAATCCAAAGTTCCTTCATTCTTTCCTACTCCCCCCACCACACATACACTGTGGATCAGAGAAAACATTTGGCCTTTGGTTTTGGGGGGATTGGCATATTTCACTTAGCATGATGTTCCCTGGTTCTATCCATTCACCTGCAAATGCCATAATTTCATTCAACCACTGAACCACATCCCCAGCCCTATTTTGTATTTTATTTAAGATAGGATCTCACTGAGTTGCTTAGGGCCTCACTAAGTTGCTGAGGCTGTCTTTGAACTCATAATCATACTGCCTCAGCCTCCCAAACCACTGGGATTACAGGCATGCGCCACCATCCCTGGCTCATTTTTCTTTAAGGCTGAGTAATTTTCCATGTGTATATGTACCACATTTTCTTTATCCATTCATCTGTTGGAGGGCACTCACTTGACAGGAGCTACCATCAAACTTCAGACAACCCCACCTATTGGCAGAGAAGGGAAGCTGAGAAAATTTTCAAAAGCCAATGGAAACTATCCTTCAATTTTCCACCAAGACTTTCTCTCTCTCTCTCTCTCTCTCTCTCTCTCTCTCTCTTTCTCTCTTTTCCTCTCTCTCACATCTTTGAATTCAAATGTTTTTCATGCATCAATTTATTGAGGAATGGGATGTCTGAATAGTATATTACAGTTTTGTTGTATACCTTATATTTTTACTTTTTAAAAAATCTATACATATTTTTCTCTTACCTGTCTCCCTGGATTCTCTTTCTCATTTCTCATACTAATAGCCAACCTCTATTAATTCCTCCTTTGATCTTACTATAAATTTTTATCTCTACTCTCCTTTTCCCTCATAAACATCGCATCTTACACTACTTCTTCCTTTATTGTCCATCATTAGAAATGGTAAACCCTTTAGCAAACTTACTGTTTATATTGTAGACAATAACAGAACACATAATTTCTGTTTATTATACCTTAATAGGATCTATTTGATTTAAAGGTGTATATTGTTTGCATTGGGTGCTGTTAATATTGGTCTCCCCCTTAAATTGTTGTGCAGTTACCACTTCTGTCTAGTTCTAAAACAATTTCATCATTCAGAAAGGAAATACTGCAAGGCTTGGTAGTGTGCATCTATAATCCCAACTACTCAGAAGACTAAGTCAAGAAGATTGTAAATTCAAGACCAGCCTGGACAATTTATTGAAATCCTGTTTCAGAAGAAAAATTTATAAGAGTTAAGGATGTAGCCAAGTAGTAAAGTGCCCCTAGGTACAATTCCTAGTAGAGAGAGAGAGAGACAGACACACTGACTGACTCAGAGAGAGAGACTCTGACTGACTTATCAATTTGCAGTTGCTCCTTACTCCCATCTCCCCCCAACTCTGGCAACTATAAATTTACCTTTTGTCCCTGTGGATTTACCTCTTCTGAAAATTTAATATATAAGTGGAATAATATTGACTTGGAATAGGCATGACTTTTTGTGTCTGGATTCTTTGATTTAGGATAATGCTTTAAAAGTTTATCTTCATTTTAACATGTACATTTCCATCATATATGTATACCAGTTTATTTACTTATTCATCCGATCCATCCATTGATTGATATTTAATCTGTTTCTACCTTTTTATCATTGTGCACATTGCTGCTATGAACATGTGTTCATAGCAAAAAATCTTATTTTGGGCACTGGGTATTTAATCCAGGGGTGCTTTACCACTGAGATATATCTCTAGCCCTTTTTATTTTTGAGAGCGAGTCTTGCTAAGTTACTAGTTACTTTACTATGTAGCTGAGGCTGACCTCAAATTTGTGATCTTCCTGCCTCATCTTCCTGAGTTACTGGGATTACTGGCGTGTGCCACCATGCCCAAAGTTTTTTTTTTTTTTTTTCAGTTCCTTTCCATCATTTCAAACTGGAATGACTGCATCATTTGGTGATTCTATGTTAAGCTATTTGAGGAAGGACCAACAGCAGTTCAGCTAATATTTTACATTCCCACCAGCAATGTACTAAGATCCCTCCTTCTCCACATCCTCTCCGGTGCTCATTGTATCTCCTTGTGTGTATGTTTATTTCATTTCCTTTTTGTTTGTTTGTTTTGGGTATGGAGGATTGAGGATTGAACCCAGGGACACTTTATATCTCTAGCACTATTTATTTGTTTGTTTATTATTCAATTTGATTTGTATTTCCTAATGATTAGGAGTGTTGAACATCTTTCCCTGTGTTTGTTGGCCATTTGAATACCTTGTTTGGCTTGTTTATTCAAGTTCTTGATCCATTTTTTAATTGTTTTTTTGTTGAGTTTTATGATATTTTTAAATATATTCTGAATACTAGACTGTTATCAAGATATAAGATTTTTAAATTGTACTTTYTCCCATGCAGTAGGATCTTTTCACTTTCTTGATAATATTCTTTGATGCATAAAATTTGAAAAATTATTGTTTTTAGTTTTAGTTCACACAACATAAAATTAACCATTTTAAAATGAGCAGTTCAGTGGCTTTAGTACTTCACAGTGTAGAGAAAATATTGTCTAGATAGTTAGAGGATAGAAGCATACTCTGGTTTTTTTAGGGTACAAGGGATACTGGGGATTGGACCCATGGGCTAGTAACTACTGAGCCACATCCCCAATCCTTTCCGTTTTTATTTTGAGACAGGATCTTGCTAAATTGCTTAGATCTTTACTAAGCAATTGAACTTGGAATCCTCTTGCCTCAGCTTCCCATGTTTCTGGGATTACAGGCATGTGTCACTGCACATGGCTTTGAGTATGATATTTAGAGATGAGGCCTTTAAGAAATGGTTTGGCTTTATAAGTAAAGGAAGAGTGATGCAGATGCAAACATGTGTGTTCCCTGTCTCTTCCTGTGTTGCTCCTAGCCATCCCAGAATTCTGCCACCAAGAGGATCATTGCCAAATGTGATCCCTAGACCCTTTACCTCCAGAACTATGAGCCAGAATAAATCTCTTTTCTTCAAAAGTAGCCCACCTTAGAAATGTTGTTATAGTAATGAAAAATGGGCTTTTATAGCTACAACTATTAAAAATGGAAATCCTTATTGCTTTTTCAATTAAAAATGTAATGGAGATGGGCACAGTGGTGCACACCTGTTATCCCAGCAGCTTGGGAGGCTGAGACAGGAGAATCCTGAGTTCAAAGCCAACCTCAGCAAAGGCAAGGTGCTACACAACTCAGTGAGACCCTGTCTCTAAATAAAATACAAAATAGGGCTGGGGATGTGACTCATTGGCAGAGTGTTTGCCTATCATGCACAAGACCCCTAGTTTCAGTATTTAATACTGAAAAAAAAAAAAAAAGGAAAGTGGAACAGTTAGATGAGGAGAGAGGTAGATAATCCTATGGTTCTTCTGAACAATCAAAAGGATAAAATAAAGAAGTTGGGCATGTTTTAAGTAGGCCTGGGTAGAATTCCTGGGTGTGATTGATTTACATGATATGGATACTAGATGGCATGTTACTAATAAGCCTGCAGGTAGGATTCTCATATTGGAAAAGAATGAAATAAATTTAAGGAAGAGAGGGACACTTGTGATGCATTGTTTTAATTTTTAACCTAGATATTCTACATTTCCTCATTTCTCTACACTGTCAATTACATCTGGTATTTGTGCACAGAACTAAGGATGAGACACAACCAGAGTGGACAGAACACATCTCCACTGGTAAGTTTATTCAGAGTCAGAGCTTATATTTAAGAATACTATGCTAAAATAAACTCACATTTCTCTGATAAACAGTATTACACTAAGCACTAGCTAATTGAATTCGTGGAGATTAATAAATGTAAAACTTGTTTCCACACAATTGTCCATTTTATTGACATTACTTCTTCTCCATTTCCTTATACATATACACAAAAAGTTTTATTATGAGAAATGTTATTTACAGTACTGCCTTTCCTGCCTTGTTTGATTAAGTATGGGAAATCCTTGTCTTCATGCCATCCATCATTGTTACCAGAGTAAAGAAAATGGTCTTGGAAGACTGGGTGTAACTCAGTGGTAGAGCTCTTGCCTAGAATATGAAAGGCCTTGGGTTCTACCCCCAGCACTGCTTAAGAAAAGCGGGGGGGAAGGTCCTGGAGAAGAGTCAAGGAAGTGCTGTCTATTAACATGAGATTTGGGATTACAGGCATTAGAGAGGGTAAGTGTTCTGCAGTGCTGTATTTCTTCAGTATGTGTGGGTGATTATATTGACTTGTTGAAGTGCTGAGAAATTAAATGTGTGGTAGTCTGAACACAAGATGAATCCAGAACACAGTCGTCTTTCCTTCTTTAATTCACAGAGTTTGGGGCACTCTCCAGCATTACAGTGATGAGAAGAGAATGCTAAGTCAGTGCATCTGGATTCTCTTAGTGTGTGTGCATATTTTACATATCGCATAATTCATTGATTTTAAATATACAATTAAGTGATGTTTTAAATCAATTTCAGAATATTTTCTTTATCCCAATTAAATCTTTCATGCCCTTAACCATGAATCCCTTTGTCACTCTCTGCTCTAGGTAATCACTAATCTACTTTCTGTTTTCTCTAGACGTGCCTTTTCTGGACCTTTCATATAAATTCGATAATACCGTATGTGGTCTCTTGTGTTTCTGTGGTTTCTTTCACTTAACATAGTGCATGTATAAATAATTCATTCCTTTTTATTGCTTAATGATATTTCCTTGTATTGTAAAAATTGAGTTTTTTATTTCTGATTCTTTCAATATCACTAAGCGATCCTGCAGATGACATTTTTATGATGTTATCATTTCTTCTTGGGGCAGGGGTACTAGGGATTTAAACCGGGGCAATTTGCCACTGAGCCACATCCTCAGCACCCCGTCCCTCTTTATTTTGAGATAGTGTCTCACTAAGTGGCTTAGGGCCCTGCCAAGTTGCTGAGGCTGGCCTTGAACTTGCGATCCTCCTGTCTCAGTTTCCTGTGCCCATACGATTACAGACATATGTCACTTCGTGTGGCTCAATTTTTATTTCTTTTAAAGTCTTATGTATTTTAATCTTACTATATGTATCTTACTAAATATTTTAATCTTATATCTGTGGTATTTGTTCTGCTACTTTTTTTTTGAAGGGAAATTTTCATTAAGAACATGATAGAAAGCTGGGGTGGTAGAGTGCTTGCCTTGCATGTGTGAAGCATTGGGTTCAATTGTCAGCACCACATAAAAATAAATAAAGGTCCATGAACAACTAAAAAACAATTTTTTTWAAAAAAAAGAGCATGATAGAGTAAAAGTATCTGGAAAGCCTTCTAACATCTTTTCCCAGGGCCTACAATCACTTCTAGAACAAATGAAAGTGGTATCCTGTTAGGTACATGATGAAATTCAATAAATATTTTTTTAAAGAATAAATGGGAAAGACCCCTGTCTATATATGCATATACATATTTGTTTGCATATAGAATCTTAGGAAAGGGTATTTGAGGTAAATTAGGAGATTTATCTTTTAGGTCGTGTTATAGCTGCTTACCTCCTATATGACCTTAAGCTAATCATCTGCTTTTATTGAGCCTCAATTTTTCATCATAAAATGAAGCAGTGCTAAGGTTCTATGAAATCTTCATCTGACTTCAAGAAATTTATTTTTAAGAAGAAACTCTTTTTTTAATTAACTACATTTTTCCAAATAGATAAATAATTCAATTTCCAAAGAATTATTTTGCATCATGAGAAAGATATTACCTTGTTCTAGCACTCAGGAACATTTTGGTGAGGTGAYGTTCTGGTAACCTGTAGCAGTGACTTTCCAATTTTTCTTGACCACAGCAGTTTCAGCAGTTCAGTCCATGGTCCTCCTACTCCATAGCTCTAGGCCCCAAAGTGAGGTAGAATATCATGTCTGAAGGGCATGGCAGAGGGAAGCAGCTCAGGACATGGCAAATTGGAAGCAGAAAGAGAGCTGACTCACTTCTTAAGAAGAGATATTTATCTTTCTTTTTTTCTAGCCTTGTTCAAGATACTCACTGTTGAAGGACAGGGTAGAGAATGTTTTTAAAACCCCTCCCTCTCTTCCTCTCTTTCTTCCTCCCTCATTCTCCCTCTCTCCATTCTCGTTGCTATAAATCGAAAGGATACGAGGAAATCATTGAAAAATTAACATAAAGAGGTCCCTTAAATAGCATCCTGAACAAGATACTACAGTAAATAAAAGAGCTGTTCAATAAAACTTTTTGTAATAATCAAAATATTTTATTCACTGTCCAGTTCAGTCATTACTAGCCGTTTGTGGCCACTGAGCACTTGAAATGTGACTAGTGAGAGTGAGGAACTGAATTTTAAATTTTATATAATCTTCATTTTATTTTAACTAGCTACATGCATCTAGTTGCTGCTATACAGCCCAGGACAATATTCTGGGACCTTTTTCTTATGTTTACCTCTGGACATTTAACACTTATAATTACTCTTCTGTATCTTTAATTTATATGGTTTCCTTGCTCCTTACAAGTTAGTAAGGACCCATGGCTATTTATCCTTTTACATATCTGTCTGCATAATTCTAGAATTCTAGAACTAAAAGGTACTACTCATTTTCTTCTCTTTAGGTAGGTGAATGCATACAAAGTTCAACAGCCTTACAGGATTAATATTTTTTTAAATTGTTGATTGACCTTTATTTACTTACTTATATGTGGTGCTGAGAATCAAACCCAGTGCCTCACACATGCTAGGGAAGTGTTCTATCACTGAGCCACAGCCACAGCCCCAAGGATTAATATTTTACATTTTTATTTTCATTCATTAATTTACTAATTCACTCAAAAGCCAAGGGACTGATTGGAATTTGTGAGCAGTTATTTAGTCACAAAGTAATTTCCTGAAGAAGATGCTCTGAGACCAGAAGCCAACATGGGGGAATATTTCTGAGAGGAAGAAATTAATTTTTGAAGGAAAAATTGGAGAGATGTAAGATTAGCTCTCATATAGGATGTTCTGCTTTCTATGCACACAGAGGCACATACTACTCTTTATAACTCAAGCAATGTCATTAGTTTCAAGGAATCAAACTCTAGTCTAAAGTACTAACCCCAGTGCTTATTATTCTGCCATTATAGCTGTATACTAAGAACTGCCAAGATCTTTTTTTTAACCTTTTAATTCTTTTTTAAAATACCCTAGCAAGATTTCTGCCATAAACTACTAGCAGTAAGCTTTTTATCAGATATTCATTACCAAGTAAGAGTAATAATTAAAGAGCATGTAGCCACCTGACAGAGTAAAAAGAGGAGAAGGGAAGCTAGTAGAAGAAGTCACTACAAACTAATTTTACATATTTCCCTCAAGTCAACAATAACTGTCCTACTTAAAATCGTTGCTATTCCTGATCCAAACTTCTCAAGGACGATCAGTGACCATTCTCTAATTATGATTAATTGCTCACTTAATGCTTATTTATTGTTAATGACTATTCCACAATAGGATATGTTTATACCTTAAAATAGAAAGAAAAAGGCTTTCTATTTTGTTACCTATTTAAGGTGTTGTGTTCAAAATCTTTCATCCTGAAGTCCTATTAGGTAGAAATGATTCCTCTTTTAGATGGATTCATCTTTTAGATGTTTTACAGTATCTGAGTTTTTGTTTGTTTTGTAGCGCTGGCCTTGTGTATGCTAAGCATAGACACTACCACTGTGTTACATGCCCAGCACAAGTAGAGTTTTTAAGTGTTCTGTCTTTTAGAATCTAAGTCTCATATCCAAAGAGCTTAACGATTCTGCACTATTATATTAACACTTGCTGCTGGTCATCTTATACATAGAGCTTCATTGAACCCATAATGCTCTGAAAACACCCACACATTTCTGAGTCTAAAATAGAAAAAGATGGAACTATTATTAAATGATGGAGGGTTACTATGTGATCTCATATTTGCCTTTCTTCCTAAGAAAATTTGTCAAATCGTAAGCTACTTCCTGCAGCCCTTCTTTTGACTTTTTAAATTTTATTTATTTATTTTTTTGGTACTAGGGATTGAACCCACGGGCTTACAACCACTGAGCCACATCCACAGCCCATTGTTTATTTTGAGACAGGGTCTCGCTAAGTTGCTAAAGCTGGCTTTGAACTTGTGATCCTCCTGTCTCAGCCTTTCAAGGCACTGGGACTATAGGTGTGCACCACTGTGCCCAGCTTGTTGTTATATTTTTTTAAAATATAATAATACAGATGAAATTCTATCATTTACAATGCTAAGGAATTATCTGTTTCATGAATTCTATAGCAAATGTTGCTTGACAGAGTAAATTGGCTCTTAGAATCCTTTTTATTCTATTGAGTGGTATATGATGATCTGGTATTTATTGTAATGTGATTTGCAATGTCATAAGACAATTTTACATGTGTTCTTTTCACAGGTGACAGATTCTACTTGCCGAGTTGGTCAAATCACCTTCATTTTTTCAAGGTAAGATTTTTTTTCGTCTTATTAAGGAATATATTATCATTATTCAAGTGCCCAAGTACGAAGAAATAGTTGGTGTCCTGTATTTCCATTGTCACTCCTAAGTCATCACAGACTCTTACTGAGGTAGGAAGCAATAAATATGTGATCATTGGTTCTGTTTTCCCACATAGACTGGAAAATCGGTTTTCTATTACAGAGTTGGGTTTTAGCCCCAATTCTACCATCAATTCAATGTGATCTTGTACAAATTTCTTTGAGTTTTGGATCTCCACATTCCTTTTCTTATAAGTTGTTAAAGAAGGTCTTCAAGATCTTATCCACTTTAAAAACATTGGTGAGACTATTAGAATTATAAAGTCCAGAAAGGGTCTGGATCTCACCTAAAGTGGCAGTCACATCAGGGTTAATTTTAGCCTTTGTAACATTTGCTCCTAAATCTTTATCTCTTACAGGGAGTCTGCTATATTTGGCTGGATAAATAGCTGCCTATTTAATGGTATACTTTGGGAAAGCACTCAGGAAGGGGCTAATGAGAATGAAGTTATTCCTGGCCACCATGAAAAGTGAAACAGGCTGCACACAAAGCTCCTTGGTAGATTTTCCTTTCATTTTTGACCCACTTAGAATTTTATCTGACCATATAATACCAGAGATTCTCTGGATACTCTGTTAGGGTTCATTAACCTAAGTATGAAATCCTTTTCCTGCTGTACTTTCCCAGGAACTGAAAAGTAAGGATACTTAAGGTATTCAAGGTATTTTCTTGAAAAATTAAGTGTGTATATATTTGTGGATATCAGTGGGGTGGTACATTTGGGGGTGGGAGGATATTCTGAAAAAGGGGAAAGACATGAAACTGCTGGATATTGGGAAGATAACTTTTTTCCTCCCAGCCTGATACCTCTACTATTGATGACACCTGTGTTCTGTCTGGGCAACACCAGTGAATGTTTCCACAACTTCAGTCAGAACAACAGGTAAGAAGTGACCAAATCTATCATTTTCATTGTGGATTACATGTGTTCTTTTTTATAATAAACCTAGAGAAAAGACTTTTTACATATCTTCTGTCCAATGTGGAAAAGGGCTATTGGAAAAGGACTGTGAAACAAGGTATAGTCAAGACTAAAAATACACAAGTAAAAGTATAACACAAAGTGAATACAAGATAATGTATCTGTGGGAAGGAATAAAATCTTATGGATAAGAGCACAATGATAAGGGGGCTGGGGTTGTGGCTCAACAGTAGAGCGCTTACCTAGCACTTGGGAGGCCCTGGGTTGATCCTCAGCACCACATAAAAAATAAATAAATAAATAAAAAGGTATGTGTCCAACTACAATTAAAAAATAATTTTTTTAAAAAAAAGCACAATGGGGGCTGGGAATGTGGCTCAGGTGGTAGCGCGCTCGCCTGGCATGCGTGCGGTCCGGGGTTCGATCCTCAGCACCACATACCAACAAAGATGTTGTGTCCACCGAGAACTAAAAAATAAATATTAAAAATTCTCTCTCTTTCTCCTCTCTCTCTCTTTAAAATAAATAAATAAATTAAAAAAAAAAAAAGCACAATGATAAGTGCAGTTACATATTCATTAACTTTTGTTGCACTGAGTGAATATCTCATGTCTGACATCTATAGTAGTACTACTGTCCATTGGTTTTTTTTCCTAGGTGTATCCTGATGTTCTCACCACCATCAGTCATGGCTGAACTCCTGCCTTCTGCCAATACATCTGTCTGTAACATACTTTATTTTTATAGCATCACCATTTTCTTGGCTAGCTTTTTGCTCAGCCTTCTAATTATTATGGTATGGTACTACTCTCCCTACCTTTGTGAAAAGGGGAGACTAGAGGGGACAGGCCATTATTCCTAGAGCCTGGGGAAGATAGGCCAGAGAGTTACTTCCTATGGTCCTAGTACCAAGAAAATGTTCAAGAGATCTTATAACAATGTAATTATACCACCTCAGTTTTTGGGGTGTCCTAAAATCAGATGATGAGTGTGGAAAAAGAGCTTGTTTGGGAGCAGAGGCAAGAGGATTATGAGTTCTAGGCCAGCCTCAACAATTTAGTGAGACCCAGACTCAAAACAAAAAGTAAAAGAATTCACTTCATGAAAATTATGTTTACTCTAGAACTAATATATGTTTTGTTGATCCCCATGGAGGAGCGACCAGAAAACTCATGATTCACGTATATCCTTTATACCAGAATGACATTCTAGAACATAGGACATTGCTTTAATATAATTTTCCAAATAATGAAAGAGTGTTCTTATTTTTTTTAGCCACCATAAGTTCACACTTATATGTCTAACTGGGGTTTAAATGCTAAGTGGTTTATGTAATTATCAGGTACTTATTTGAATGATGTAGAATTAAAATGATCAGCCAAGTGATAGTAAGTTGTGTATGCATAACTGCTTGGTACAGAAGCAGTATCACCTGTGAGGCAGATATAATTATGGGGAATTTCCTTTGACCTTTAAAAATTAGTTATGGAGATAGCTCAGCCCAGATCAGTAAATTTGTAAAGGTCAATTAGTTTATATTAAAATGGATTAGATGGCTTACATTTGGAATGGATTGACAATAAAGATGGCCCCCCGCCCCAAAGGCTTGGAATTCTGAAAATTCTTTATTGCTGGTTAGAGTAGCTCAGGCTTCAATGGACATTCAGAATTAGCATTCTAGATTATTTTTAAATGAACAGATAATTAGACATAAATATTCTCATTTAAGTTCAGGCCTCCTTTTGATTCTTCTGTTTGTAGGGAAAGAAGACTCTGGTTGCATTTGATTAAGAAATTGAGTTATTAGAGAATTGATTTGGGTTGTTAAGGCAAAGAATCAAGTTTGGGAAGGTTTTTTGTTTGTTTATTCTTGTTTTCGGTACTGGAATTGAACTCAGGGGCATTCAACCACTGAGCCACATCCCCAGCCCTATTTTGTATTTTATTTAGAGACAGTCTCACTGAGTTGCCTAGCACCTCACTTTGCTGGCTTTAAACTTGTGGTCCTCCTGTCTCAGCCTCCCAAGCTACTGAGATTTTAGACATTTGCCATAGCATCTGGCTTAGGGCTTGCTTTAAACTTATTGAGTATATTATGATTTATCTTGGTGGGAAGATTGAGTAATTTTCCAGATAATTTTCTCTCAGAAAAAGCCTGGTCTCAGCAGGTAAAACCTGTTGCAAGATACTTAGAGAAGGATCCTTCTAAAATGATAGGAACTTTTACTAAGCTTTAGGGCAAACTGCTCACTGCTACACTCATGTTTAGGTCTTATTCATCCAAGCCCAAAACCTGTATAAGAAGTTTGTGAAATCACCTGGCTTTCTGGGGAACAAACAGCGAATAGTGATTCACATTGTGGAACAGCGAGTGTGCTTCTACCCAGCCGTCTTCTTATGCTGCTGTGGCCCAGGTGGGTATCTTAACAGGAAGAGATGGAGAGTGAAGAGGGTAACAATATTGGATTCAACAATATATTGGGATCAAGCAGAGTGATCTCACCAAGGCAGATGACTGACTATAGATTCCTGTCCAGCTTATAAGATTTATGTTGGCTTTACCCATATTTCCAGTTTTCCCTGACCCCCCCCAACTTTTTTCCTTTTTATATATTAGAAATTAAGGTAATTAGGCATGAGGTGCAAGCTGATGTGAGAGGGCAAATTACCTAATATGACAGGATTCATCTATTAACATTTGCTTTAAGTTGATAGTGAGGATCACATTGGATAATGTTTATGAAAGGCCTTGGTAAATTCTGATACTCTAAGCAGTATAATTTATTATCTTTTTCTGGACACAATGGCAGACACTTGTAATTCCAGCTCTTTGAGAGGCTGAGGCAAGAGAATCCAAGTTCAAGGTCATTTTGGCAATTTAGCAAGACCTTGTCTCAAAATAAAAGATAAAAAGACTGGGCATGGTGGCATATACCTCTAATCCCAGGGGTTTGGGAGAATGAGGCAGGAGGATCATGAGTTCCAGGCCAGCCTCAATAACTTAGCAAGGCCCTCAGTAGTGAAATCCTGTCTCAAAACAAAAAATAAAAAAGGACTGGGTACCCCTGGTACTAGTGAAATGAAATGAAATGAAATAATAGCTAGGGCATAGCTCAGTGGTAAAATGCTCTTGAATTCAATCTCCAGTACAGAAAAAATTATTATCTTCCTGTAGTACCTCTCCACTATTATCACACAAATCATCTGTAAAGTTTAATTAATAAAGACTAGAAGTCAGAGGCCTTTGGTTTCATAACTGGTTAAAAGTATTGATCTTCAATAAGCCCATATCTTCCATTCTAATAATGCTCAGACATGTATACTGAGGAACTCTGTGCTTCAGGCAGTGAGGTCTAATGACAGAATTTATGTGTTCTGTATTCATAGCTGTCGTGCTGATAATCACAAAGCTGACTAAGCCCCAGGACACCGAGCTACACATGGCCCTGTATGTTCTCCAGGTAACACCTTCAAAATCCAGAATTTCTCTTCCTACACCCTCTTATTCTACTCTCTTACACTGACATTACTCAGTAAGCACAATTTCCCTCTGTGAAGGAAAAGAGAACATGTATTATTTATGCTCATTTATGAAGAATGTGAAAATTTCCACAGAGGAGGGTAGATGCTTTGGTAAAAGTGCTGGTATGCACTCCACAGCATATGTATCTCTGGTCAATTTCATTTTATTGATGTGTTTTTAAGAAGTGAGTAGACAAAAAAAATAGTGGTCTACTAGGGCACATTCTTAACACTGGTAGTCATGATTCTCTCTAATCCAAATTGAATTGAATGAGATTAATTAACCTTTCTTATGAAAGTGGTGGGTAGAGAGGTAATAGAATGGTTATCCTCATTTATCAGATTGAAGAAAGACTTTTTTTGAACTATCTAATTATGCTGATAAGGCAGTTTTCTCCAAAAAATGGATCAGTAAGGAGGGGCATTGAAGCCACTTCATTGTCCTTATGTATATACTAAGAAATATGACCAACTTTTAGTCAATTATGTTAAGATGTAAAGAATTAGTTCAGAAAGAGCTAGAAAAATAGAAAAAATAGATACCAGATCTTGATGTTTGAGATAGAGGAAATGTAACCATGCTTCGTAAACAAGGGTTGTGGGGCTTTTTCCTGGATCTCTACAAACCTGAAGAACAGATTCCATCACCCCTGTCTCTCCTTTAGGCTCTAACAGCAGCATCCCAGGGTCTGCTCCACTTTGGAGTATATGGATGGACACAGCACAAATTCCACYAACTAAAGCAAGAGGCTCAATGTGATGTGGATACCCAGACACCATTATTATGCTCACAGAAGAGAGTCTATAACAGGGGCCTGGATCCATTAGGGTCTACTGTTACTTTTGCTACGAGCTCCTCCACCATTCTTTGAAATTACAATTACTAGGATACTCAGGAACTGGAATTATTTTACATTAATGGATTGTGAAGAATGTCAGGTAACCATATCCTACACCAGCTTCCTTAACAAGACCCCCTAAAACTCAAGAAATAAAATAAAAAATAAGTGGGATGGCTTCAAATAAAGCTTCTGCACAGCAAAGGAAACAGGAGCATGAAGAGAGAGCCTACTAAATAGGAGAATCTTTGCTAGCTACTCTTCTGACTGGAGATTAATATCCAGAATATATATAGAACTCAAGAAACTTTTTTTTTAAAAGAAAGAGAGAGAGAGAGAGAGAGAGAGAGAGAGAATATATATTTTTCTTTATTTTTTAGTTTTTGGCGGACACAACATCTTTGTTTGTATGTGGTGCTGAGGATCGAACCCGGGCCGCACGCATGCCAGGCGAGCGTGCTACCACTTGAGCCACATCTCCAGCCCTCAAGAAACTTAATACCAAAAAAAAAACAAATGACCCAATCAGTTAATGGGCAAATGAGCTAAACAGACATTTCTCAAAATTTTTGGCAAATAGCCAACAAAATACATGTAAAAATGTTCAACATCCTTAGCAATCTGGGAAATACAAATCAGAACTACCCYGAGATTTTTATCTCATTCCAATTAGAATAGCAGTCATCAAAAATACAAAGAATAATAAATGCTGGTGAGGATGTGAAGGAAAAGGTACACTTATGCATTGTTGATGGGACTGAAAATTAGTACAACCATTTTGGAAAGCAATATGGAGATTCCTGAAAATACTAGGAAAGGACCCATAAGATAACCCAGCTATCCCACTCCTTGGTATTTATCCAAAAGACCTAAAAGTAGCATACTATAGCGATACATGCATATGAATATTTATAGCAGCACAATTCATAATAGCCAATTTATGGAACCAGCTCAGGTGTCCCTTAATAGATGATTGGATAATGAAAATGTGATATATATACACAATGGAGTTTTATTTAGCCATAAAGAATAATGAAATTATGTCATTTGCTGGCAAACGGGTAGAATTAAAGAACATCATGCTGAGTGAAACAAGCCAGTTTCCGAAAGTCAAGGGTTGAGTGTTTCTCTTATATATGGAAGTTAGAGAAAAATAAGGTATTAAAAGTTGGTAGGGGTGTTGGGAAACAGTCTCATAAAAATAGAAGGGAGAACAATACAGTAGAGGAAGGGCTATGAGGGGAAGGAAGAATGGGAAAGGGGAAGAACAGCAGAATGAAATTAACAAAACTGCCATGTATCATGTATATATGAACATATAATAACGAATTCCACTTTTATGCATAACTGTAATGCACCAATTAAAAAATAAATCAATTATAAAAGAATTAACAGGGTTTTTTTTTTTTTTTTGGTCATACTGAGAGTCAGAGGGGACATGTGCAGCTGAACCACTGTTCAAACTGTCCCACTAACCCTAGAAGGGACAATAGCCATACATAGAGGCAGTTCTTAAAATTATCATGACACTTGTTTAGTTTGTGGTCATAGTGGAATAGAGTGGTGTCTAAATAGGTTTGATTATACAAATCTTCTGTGGCTCTCATAGAATGCTACCCTTCACTTTCCCTCTCGTCAGCCCTTTCTGTGGCTTCAAAAACATCTATATGCCAACACCTTATTTCTTGCATGGGCTACATGGGTGCTTGATGTTTTTCAATGTGCAGAGCCTTAGGTCTTTTTGCACAGACCTTAACCATTATTTTAGAGTCACTGCCATGGTTTCTAAACGTATTTCCTAGGTAATGATAACTTTTCCAGGCAACTCTTATACTCTTTCTAAAGATTTTATGTCACTGATTCTCCAGGTTTCTGTACTGGCCCTGCTAAAATAACCTTATTTTTTGCAATGGGTACTGTCTTGCTTGTGTGTATCTGTCTGGCATCACATGGAGGTGCCATTATAGTATTCTGGGAGGTCACTCATCCACAGGGAAGTCTTTTTCTCACAATATAGCTTTCCAAAGGAGCTTTGGAGGTCAGGTTTATTAAACAAGCAGTCATCATTGTGCTCATACAACATCTGATCAAAATCTATATTTATAGTAATAAATTCATTGTTTAGTTCAGAGGTTCTGGTCCTGGAACTTGTAAGCCACACCGTTATGCTTTATTTCCAAGCTATGGCTAAGCTCATGACCAGGAGAGCTGAAAAATTGATTATTTCTTCATGAGAGGAAGGTTCAATGCTTGTTGCATTCTTAGCAGTATAGATACCATTGAGAAATGCATGGCCCAGCTACTTCTAAGTTTTTGATCAATAGTCATATGAACAACATGTTTCACATTTCCCAAAAGATATATTGAAATGTTTTTGGCATATTCAGGCACATTTGGCACTAGGTTTCTCTCTGTCCATATCTTTAACACAGAAATGCATTTTATACACTTGGCTCCTTCATCTAAAACTTGACCAAGGTGTATACATCTATTGCCACATATTGCTTATTCACATTATTTCACATTAAGAACTTCTTATTGTCAATCACGGTACACAGTTCTGTATACTTGAGAAGTGAGCATACATAGATGACATGGGGACTGGATTCTATTCTGCTCTGAAATTGTGAAGTGGTTAGAAGCCCCTCTTATTCATCTCCACTGACTGCATAGGATTCACCCTATTTTATAGGTAGGCCATAAACCATATGTAAACCACATACCTCAAATTTTTTTTTTATCTATCTATCCTTTATCCATGAGAAAGTGCTGTTAATTAGAAGAAAATCTCTGTAACTCTCTAATACCCATCATAGTTGCAGTCATTTTGTATAAAAGGCATTTCCAAGCTCAGGTTCCCATTTTGATGTGAATGTATAACAGGGAGGTTATTGACAGTTTTTTCTTTTGCTTAGAGTTAATGATCTTCCATTTTTCTCATCTGAACAGGGCCTAGGCCACGTTTTCTACTTTTTCTTCTAGTCTTGTGACATCTTCTGATTCCTGGGGATAGGTATTTGATAATAAAGAGATTCCACTTATATCCCTTGAAAAAGAATCACTATTAACAGCAAGATAACATGCTGCAACTTAACCTAGGGAGGGCCCATTCTCAAATATCCCATAGGAGAATTCCTAGATAAAAGAAATCATTCCAAATCCTACCTGTGATTTCATAGAATGTGTTAGGAGGGAGGCAAAGTTACTGTTAATGTCATTTTCATGGCCCAAGTGAAATAGCCAATGATCCTGGACCTCTCTACCTTTTTCCTTTCCTGGGCTCAACCTTTGTCAGTAACAGAGTTATTTGGTCAAAGCTCCCAGCTTGCTGCCAGCTAGGATAGCTGTTCCCCACCCGTGAGTGTTACATGACAACATCTGCCTTCTACAATTCTTGCCCCCCCCCGTATGTTCTTACTTTGCATCATCCTTCAAAACTTTAATACTTACCTGAGCTTTTGCTGTCTTCATAGAGAAATATACCAAGGAGAGGAAGCTTTCAAAGGTCCAGCTATATCCTAGGATAGGGTTCCAAGAAAAGAAGAAAGTGGTAACTTTTTCCTTACAGTCCCACTCCTCCATGGAACAGATTTCTCCCACATTCCCTGTTATTCTTTGGAGCCACTGAAACTAAAGGTTATAAAGCAGTTTTGTGGATCTATGGGTCACAGGCATCTKCTGCCCAATGCTACTTACACCATTTCCTACTCTACCACACAGCTCATTTCAGATCCTCAAGCCTTTTTCACCTCCAGAAAGATTGTGGGCATGGTCTTTGACATATTGCTTTGTTCTAAAAATCTCTTCTGTGGGGCTGGGGTCATAGCTCAGTAGCTAGGGCTTGCCTTTCACGTGTGAGGCACTGAGTTTGATCCTCAGCACTGCATAAAAATAAATAAAATAAAGGTATTGTGTCCATCCTCAAGACTCCTCTGGAAGGACATCTTCCTCATTTAAATTGATGGATTTTTTGGGGGGCGGGGGAGGTACCAGGGATTGAATTTAGAAGCACTCAACCACTGAGCCACATCCCCAGCCATTTTATTTTTTATTTCAAGAGAGGGTCTAAGTTGCTTAGGGCCTTGATATGTTGCTATAGCTAGCTTTGAACTCTATGATCCTCCTGCCTCATCCTCCTGAGTCACTGAGATTACAGGCGAGCACCACCAACCCTGACTTAAATTAATGGATTTTGATTCTTACCCTAAAGTTCCCTCTGTTTCTGAGCTAAAGGCACTCCTCTGTCCTATTTGATGAATAGTACATGCTCTTTAGTGTATGGAGGAGTAGTGATTCAGAATATGAAAGACCAGGGATCAGCTTCCAAAAAGAATAGCAAGTTGTAGACCATCAGTAGGGCTTTCCTGTAAAATATATATATATTTTAGAGAGAGAGAATTTTCAATATTTATTTTTTAGTTTTCGCCAGACACAACATCTTTGTTTGTATGTGGTGCTGAGGATCAAACCCGGGCCGCACGCATGCCAGGCGAGTGCGCTACCTCTTGAGCCACATCCCCAGCCCCCTTTCCTGTAATATATGAGTAGCAAAACAAGAAAAAAAATTAGTTCTATAAATCTAAGGAGCCCAGTCAAACACCCATATCTATAGCCCTAGTGTCTTTTCCCTGAGGCCAAGATAAATCTGTAACATAGCACAGTATCTTATACTTTACATATCTCATAGAGGCATTGTTATTGGCTCTTCCAGTAGAAACACAATGTTGTGGATCGTGGTGGTACATTTCTTCTATAAGTAATTTTTTAGGGTTTATTATGGAGAGCGCTTTTTCTGCATCTGTTCAGATGGTCTTTATCCTTCATGTGGTCATGTGTGTCATACGGTTTTTATCCTTCATTCTGTTAATGTGGTGTCATTATGAGTAGTATTTTGTGTATGTTGAGCTTCCTTGCACCCCTGAGATACATCCCAATTGATCATAGTGTATAATAGTTTTAGGTACAGTTAGTTGGATTATATTTACTACTATCTTGTTGAGAATTTTAGTGTCTGTGTGCATCAGGGATTTTTGGTCTCTAGCTTTATTTTTTGTTGTGCCTTATTTGGTTTTGGTATCAGTGATGCTGACATTATAGAATAACGAAGTTATTTCTCTTTTAGTACTTTGTAATAGTTTGAAAAGAATTCGTTTTAGTTTTTCTTTAAAAGTTTGGTAAAATTCAGCAAT